TGGAGACTTCCTATTATCATGAATTTTCATGTGTGTTGAGTGCATTTGTTTTTGGTAGACAGCGATTTTTTGTAAGCCTCCTTGTGCCTTCCTCACAGGGGCGAACACTCAACTAAAGGTCAAATATGAGTCGGTGTCGAGGCCAAACACGAGAGAGTATTTAAGGTGATATTACTCATAAAAGACAAAATCACATCCGAAATTTATTCACCTCTAACGATTATGAAATGAGTGCAGTAGATACGCCTTCCCATTAGCGCAATACATGTATAAACACACCTATCTACTTGCATCCCTATATTGATGATTAAGGTAGCATTATTCTATGAATTAAAATTGTCACGTTTTCCATAAAGAGAGTAATAATTTCTTTTTTTAGATTTCCACGAACACAAAGAAAAAATTATCATCAAATAATGGCACTATATTTTCTGCACTGTGTTTGAAAGCGTATTGATCTAGGCAGGAAATAGTCATTGAACAGAAGAATATTCACGACAGACAAAAGAACTTTGTGTGTATGTATAAAGACCAGTCTCGTGAAACCCAATAAAAACACACTCACTGGTCATGTCGTTGAGTATATATCCGGCTTCTTTTCCGGGAGAGAAATCAGATGACACTATATCTGAAAATTGGTATGCGATATCTATCCATTAGGAAGGTATCTATGAAAGAGTAACACTGATTTTTAATTAAGAAGATGTATACTTAATGGAAAAGCTGCAGCACTGAAAAGTTATTTACATTACACCTGCATAAATGTTCTGAAGTGGCACCTGAAAACGCCACCTTAATGGAAAAATGATTTTTCTGGATGTAAAAAAAATCAGGGTATCTTTTGGGATTGTCTTAAAATCAAATTACGTTGTATCAGATGGTTGTGATACTAAAAGCAAGCAATACCAAAACCATAAATGTATTGCCGCATGGATGTAATATATCCAGAATCTTGTTTAACGCGAGATTTTGTTCCAATATAAAAATGACAATTATAAAACAACACATAACGATGTCTCTTTTCTACATGATGAATCCAGACATTTTTGCCAATGAAGGATTTACATTTTGATAAGTTAACTTATTGTCCATCAATATGCTACCATGGTATTGGCTGAATACTTAAAAAAATCAATTTATGTATCAATGTCGTCTATAATGCTCGGGATTGAATAATACGTTTTTATACTTGTGATTATATTTACATAAATCTTGACACTGAATTTGATTACATGTCATTTTAATTCTATTGAAGTGTCAAAGCATCAACAGTACAACGTTAAATCATGTATATACATGAAAACTACGCAATATTAAAGTTTACTGTCGTAATTAGAATGGACTGAATGTTTATGTCGCATCCAGTTTAAACATTTTTCTTTGACCTTTCATTGAATAGATTGTCACCTTCATCAGACAAATGACCAGGATGAAACAATTTAAACTGACGTATGAGGCGTACGAGATGGTAATGAAATCATAGAACTTTTCGGCTGTACTACAGTCTTATATACTAAAATTTTAAAGGTTGGTTCACAAAAATGTACGTGAAAGTAAACTTTAGATCTACAAATTTGATATAATATGTGCCATTTAATGAATTACATTTGATTATACAGAGAAGAGAGGAATCAAGACTTACCACATTCTATAAAATGCATAACAAAAACGTCCCTCCATACTTAGAAAGCTTGATACTACCTAATAGGCGTGACTTCAACATGGAGTTAAGAAATCAAGACAAATATCAAGTCGACCCGAAGTCGTCTGGATATTATGAAAAAGTCTTTTGTTCCGTCGTCTATAAATTTGTGAAATAATTTAGACAATTCTACTAAATCGACTGTATCACTAAAACATTCAGAACCAAACAATCCCGCATACACTCTTCAGTTCCTGATTATTGACATTGTAATAATCGATACCTCTCTGTTATACATGACCGCATTAGACATTACTGTAGTGGCTTGCGTTAAGATTTATATAGGGTAGGTATTTGAAGACGCAAGTCACTATTCCTTTTATGTTCATCATTTTCTAATTGTAGACACATATTGTTTGTTACTTTGTATGATTTAGACGTAGATTTTAATACAGAAACTATCTTATGGGGCGACAGTTGTGTTTACGCATATGAAGCTAATTGTAATATTGTTAAATCTATTCAAAAGTTTATAAAACAAACAAAGCATTTTAACACTATCTAATTATGAACTGTTTGTAGTCGGCTCTGAACTGATATTGAATTTATATAAGATCTGTTCTATCTTTTTTCTCTTCTTATCTTTCTATCCTATCATCTTATCTTTTCCTCCTTATGACAAAATGGTTTAAACTTACAATTGCACGTCTACGAATTACTCATCTTCATATTTTAGTATAAATATGTGTCACGTGCAGTATTTTAATTATTTGTCATTTCATTTATGGAGAAGAGTTCATAAGTTGCTTGAACTTGTCTCTGATCCATTTATCTAATACTGATAATAAAAAATGTTTAAATCACTTGAATATGTAGGAGTTGCTCCCCTTGATAACTTGTCAGTGGTGCTAGGGCTCTAAAGTCTAGAAATCAAGACAAAGAAACAGGAAAAACAAGCTTGGTCGACACACTGATAAAACACAAATCTTTAGGTGTATTAACCCCAATAAATGTTTAATTTCTAATGAAGAATAAATTTAGAAGAACGTTAAGTACTTGTGTGTATTCTGTGAAGTGTCATTATTCATACGTATAACATAAAAATGAAAATAGAAAGATACAAAACAAATTCGAAAATTACCTTTATTTAATACGGAATTGATCAAATACTCTACAGTGAACAGAATACGAAGAGGTAAGTAAAATTACTGCAGGAAGTGCAATTTCCCCCTAATTTCGAGCATAGGATAAAATCGAGAAAGAAACTCCTTTATTTCATGGTGATTTTATTTTTTTTTATTTCGTGGAATCTCTCCTCTTAATCCCTGCATTCATATGTCCACAAACTATTGAAGTTGATAAGTAGATTTAATCGATTATACACTGAAAGGATAAAGAAACGCAGGGTAATATCTATTCCGATATTTTGAAAACGCATTATCCAAATAAAGTGAAACTTTGTGGATTGAGTAATTAGGCCATATTACACCTTGACATGTATCGAAAATATAGTCACGGTACAGTGCGCAGCTCTGGTAAATGGAGGAAAGAAAAAACAAGAATCTCGTGCACCGTGTTGTTTTGGTCTCATGCAGCGTTGGTCAAGTCGCTCTTCGTTAGACTTTATACAGACCAACTGCTTCCCTAAAATTAATTGAGAATTTGATTCGTTTTAAGAATGGCACGACTCACAGAAGTTCAGAGGGGTCAGGCCATTCAGATGCTGATGCAAGGACAGCTGCACTTTGGTGTTAATGCTTCCACCATAGAACGTCTTGTAAGACGTTTTCGGGAAACTGGGCGATTGGCCGATCGGTCTAGGTCAGGACGTCCGCGCGTAACGTCACGACGTCAGGATCGCTATATCGTCGTCTCTCATGTGCGTAATCGGCGCCTTACTGCCGTTGAGAGTGCACTTAATGTTCGTGGAAATCATGGGCGTCCTATAAGTTCAAAAACCGTAAGGAATCGATTACGAGAAGTTGGTGTAAGAGCACGTCGCCCCTACGTAGGTCCACACCGTACCCCTGCTCGACGTCAGCGTCGTATGGTCTGGGTCACTGCACATGCTCCACGACGGTTTCCACTGAGGCAGTGGAGACAAGTTTTCTTCACGGACGAGTCTCGATTCTGTCTTTATCGATCTGACGGCCGTCAACGTGTCTACCGACGTCGTGGCGAATGTTTTACGGACGCTTGCGTTGTAAAGAGGGATAGGTTTGGGGGCGGTTCAGTAATGGTGTGGGGAGGAATCTCACACGGGTTAAAATCACAATTTGTTGTTATTGATGGCAATTTAACAGCAGCTAAGTATAGAGATGAGATCCTCCGACCCCATGTTATCCCTTTCTTACAGCAGCATAATCTAACCCTCCAGCAGGATAATGCTAGGCCCCACGTAGCAAGGATTTGCCAAGTCTTTCTGGCCAACAACAACATTCAACCACTAGATTGGCCTCCATATAGCCCTGATTTGTCCCCGATTGAGCATCTTTGGGACCAGTTGGATAGACAGGTTCGAAAGCGCCAGCCACCCCCTGCTACTCGAGAGCAGTTGACCAGAGCTCTGATTGAAGGGTGTGTTCCCTGAACGCATACATGTCTAGAACAATAGGTAGAAACATCAAAGGGAGGGTAATTATAGTCTATATCATACATGTATTATATTTACCTGAGATATTTTACCTGTGGATCTACCTGTGTTACCTGTATTAACCTGTGATAACTTGCAGAAAGAAAACTAAGATATCAATATGAAGTTCAATATTTATTAACTTTTCTTATGATAATATTACAATTGATTAAATTTAAAATACATTTAATATAAAGAAAGAACACAAAGATGCCAATATTTATGAATATATTCTATCATAATAGCACAATTACCTTTAAATAACATGTAACTTCAACTAAAATATCAAGTTCAACATGTATGAATATATTCTATCATAATATTACAATTAACTTTAAATTCAAATCAAATCTATAAGGTACAATATTTTGATCTAAAGAAAGATCAATGTACAACATATCAGCACATAACTAAAGACATATATACAGCACTAGGAAATGATAAATATATGCAGCACTACTACAAAAACTTATAAATATACAGCACCAGGAAATGACAAATATATGCAACATGACTATGAATACTAATAAATACACTGCACTTATATGTCACACTTTTAGAAACTGATTGATGTTACAGCACTAACGGCATATACGAGACACTAAAGACTGATAAGTGATAACACTAATTCAATGATGAATATATAGCACTGACATAAATATCTGCAACAATGACACAACGTACAAAGTCATTCGTTTTGCTCAGAGCAAGTCTAGGCAAGACATTTCAACCCAAGTGAAGAAGCTCAGATGCTGCATCAGCGTACGCAATGATGTCTATGGTGTTGCTCTCCAGTCTCTGTTTCAGCAGGGCAAGGCGGGTATCAATGTTTCTGTACCTCTTGGGTCGGGGTCGTCTGGTTCCACCGGCGCGTCGTTGGAGTCTTGCAATTTCGTTGGTAGCCTGAATGTCTTTGAATGTCTGGATGATCTCGAAGATGTTTGGATGGGCGTGTTGCACAATCTTCTTCAGCTTCCCGTGCCAGGCTTCTAGGTGGTTGGTGGTACGTGGTCCATCGTTGTCGTAGTGGTTCCAAACTGGTCGGTCTCCATCCACCCATTGGTCAACAACATAGTCCGTGAATGGTGTCACGTCAGCTGGTAGGTCGGCGTACTCAATGTCCTGTAGTGCGTGAAACCAGACATCCTCAACTTGCTGCTCAGGTACCAGAGGTAGGACTGCTGCACGGCGAACCAGTCTCCTGATGTCTTCGTTGTCCCGGTATGGAAGCTGTAGTCCAGTCATCAGTGCCTTTCTCCAGACGCATTGGGTGTAGTGGAAGAAGCAGCCCTTGATATCGGTCCCTGGGAAGACGGTGCGGATTGCGTTGTGGACAGCTGTCTCAAAGTCAACGAATACTGTGTCGGGCGACATGGGTAGGTGGTTGTCTGCCATGAATGTCTTGAGTAGTGTGAAGAATCTTGTGTAGATGTGCTGACTTTTCCCGGGTAGAAGAGAGTAGACAACTGGGTACATGGATCCATCTATCTCAATGTGTATCGTGTAGATCTGATGAAAGATGTTGGGACACGTGTAGAAAGTACCATCACAGTAGATGCGGTCGGCGGTGGCGAGCTCAGCCAAGTCCTCTGATGTGGCGAAGACAAGGATTCTGTTCTGGTCACCATCGTCAATGTGTAGGAAGCGCTCTCCAGTGTTGGTTTCCGTCCATCTTCCCTCGAGATCAATGTCCTGGGTAGTGGTTGGTAGCTTTGGTGTAAGCTTGCGTCTGGCTCTGTACAGCTGTGACTTCTTGGAGTTGAAGGTGGGTATCTTCTCTACAACGGTTCTTGTCTCTTCATCCCATTCGTTGTCACGCAGTTTGCAGAGTTCCTCACTGTAGATGGTAGGGATTGGTCTGATTTCTTTCTGGCAGCGGTCAGTGATGCAGTTCATGATCTCCTTGGCTACGATGCTTGCATGGTCTCCCGGGTGATTGTGTGGTTGCCGTCCAACTCCTACTATGATGTTGTTGCGGGTGTTGATTGTAGCAAGGCAGTTGGTAATGGTGCATCTCCAGTAAGTTCTGAAAGAGAAAAAGAAGATATTAATGTCTGGTTCACATAAATGTATAGTTTGCAACACTTGAGATTTACATGTAGAAAAAAAAATCTATCAGTGTTTCAAAGCAACACTTACTGTGACTTCAAGAGTATGATGTATAAAAAATATGATTTATTATTTTCATTTATTTATTTATTCATCAATTTACTCTTTATCTCTAATTATTTCTTCCTTATTGCATACATAAGAGCAAAAAAGTCCATTGATACAATTTATGAGTTTTTGTTTCAAGGATAGAATTAACAAAATATTTCTTTTTACAAAAAGAGTGGGACAACAATCCCATAAGACTGATTAACGCTCTCATGAACTCTATGACCACAGCAAACGGCGGACACACAAGATATTGATGACTCAGTACAATTTCAATGTCAAAATCGTATGGGTCCATTCAATTTATTCGTTAGTACCTCTAAACCAAATGTCAGATGCAAAATACAGACTTTGGAAATTTTTAAGCTTTAATTTATCTGTAAATTTCGTTTTAAATGAAGCCCGATATCATACTTAATTTCTGGTTTAAAGTTCACTCTGCGTTTCTTTATCCTTTTAGTATATTTTTTCATGAAACCAATTGTTCACGAAATTAAAAAAAAAGTATTCCATCGGAAATACATTATACTACCTTTTAAAAACTATTCCACGCCAAAATGATCAGAATATTAAGGCATTTGGGATTATATTCCATATATCGGGAACAAAATTGATCATTTCATACTGGAAGATTGATGAACATGATCAAAAAATACCGCGATGTTTTATGTTTTGTTTCTTTAATGCAATGCTCTAGGTGTGAATAGTCATTTAAACGGCCATTATTCCTCGTGAAACAATGATAAGAAATTAGATTAGGGATACCGATTACGGAACGTCGACTTACTGATGTGAAAATTATATCGGGTGCAATTTATTGATAGAAAACCTTAAGTCTCGATCGTTAAGCAAACGTGATACTATCAATAAATTAATTAAATGTTTTACAAATTTTAATGCATATAAATTAATCTCGAGCATTTAATGATAAAGATCCTATTTCCAAGTTAAAATAGGTGTCGTTTACGATTTAAAAGTGTATGTGGTAATATATATATTTAAATGCTTCCTGTAATTTGGTAGCTATATACGATGGTTGAAAACTACTGAAGCAAACTACTTAATGTATATAGATCCATTGTGTATATAAACACTACGTAGGTTGACAGCCGTACTTTCTACCCGGAGCTTCGCCAGATCCAGTGTAGGCTTCACAACAAGGATCACTATGGCCAACGATAGACAGTATCACCTCAAATTTGATGGCACAAACGCGGAATCTGTAGACAAATATTTGGAATATAGAAGGTAAGTAATAGATATGTGCTATCAATTATGTAGATACTTATATATTAAATATATACCGTCCATCAGTCGTTTTTATACAGTTCATGCATGATTAAACATAACGGATCTGTTTTATTTATAGCCTGTTTAATATTTTCCGATTGGATGTCTTTCCGATATTTTGAATCAGTGTCAAAACATACTGTTCTACTTGGTTCATTTAAAAAAATTAAAACGGTTTATAGGCATAGTATTTGTATGCCAGTATTTACCCAGTTAAGATTATGTCGATTGGTGACGTCACTTCAACACAACACGTCTGTACAAATCCAATATGTAAATAATATTGGATGTAAATGTACACACCCCGGAAGGTTAAAGCATGTATGCAATAACAAGTGGTTTTAAATAAGTGTCCATTCATACACTGCTTTATCGCCACGTTCGGCAATGTGTCAAACTTTTCCTAACCACGAGTTATACCTTCCTATCAACGTGCGTCATGTTATGTCTACTTGTATCAATCACAGACGAAGGTTTAAAACTCAGGTAGACCTATCTTCATATATCGATCCTGATAGATAAGTGATAAAGACGACGCCCTTGTATGTTGCTAACATAAACACTGAAAAATAGAATGAGCTATCACCGGAAAGCTCCTTAAACTAGGGAGGTCAATCTCCAACCAATCCCTCATGTTTGGAATACATAAACAATGTATAGATTCATTTCTTCTTTTCATCATTCTAAATTATATAATATATATATGAAAATATTTGTGTTATATTTTATATCAGATTTGGGCCTTGTATACCGTATTTTCATTTATTTTGGCCGGTAACGATTCTCTATATAAACCTTGATTCATACAGTGTATAACCAGTGCATGTGACAAGACTGATACAATACCAATACGTTTAATATATTACTCAACTTCTATCGATCGTGATCCCTCTAGTAACAGTTAAAAGCTATAGATATAACAGACATGTTTGATATGTATGTAAAATCTTCACGTCTGGACGTGTCTTTCTAAACAAGCATTTCTACATATTAGTGATAGTCTTTAAAGTGATACATAAACGATATACGGAATCTGGATATAAATAAATGTTCTGGTGATAAAATTGGAAAACACTCAACCAACAAGTAGAAAAGATGGTAAATTTCCATAGGCGGTAATACATTTTTAATAAATTGATGAATGCCAATCGTTTTTCTGTTCACACGATAGAAAAGTCATTATGGGTATTCTGTGCGATAGACTGAATAATTGAAAGCAATGCAACACTTGCACTACATATAAACCGCTTCCGTATTAGGCTAGAGAACAGATTTCTTATATATCATTACCGAGATTACCCTGAGTTTCCTCATCTATGATGTGAACACAGAGATTAGATATTTTGATTGCCAAAAATATCTGACGATAAGGCATAGACCAGAGAAAACTTGGTTTGCACTCCAATATACCAATTACAGCGCAAATAAAGTGCTTGGTTTATTATACACTGATGCGTTTGATAATCGTTCATAATACCAGTTACCTATAGACATACTACACAAAGAATAGTATATTCCTTATTTAGTTCCTGATCTGGTGTGGAGATTCTATTTTCAAACACTATTTAAACAGATTTAGATACATATAACAGGTGCTACCTAAGAAGCAGAGGATGCTCACCCTTCCGAAACATCAAATCCTCCCTGTACTATTTTGGTGGTTAATTGTTCATATTTTGTGTCTTTCAATGAATACGTAGTAGAAATCGAATGACATGAAAAATCAGTATATATTAGACATATAGTTGTGAAAGTAAGACGGATTGATTAAAGCTCCCGGTAAGTTTTTACATATATCTTATTTAGACATTACCAACCATTTTCTGACAGATCGATTATACAAGCAATTTTGTATTATCAGTGGTGATCATCAATTTATGCATTAAAATACCTTAAGGATAATATCCCTTTCATTGTAAGATATTATCATATTTCACTAAACGAAATGTAAGATATTGGTATCATGTCGTGTAATTCGGATAAATTCGTCATGATTTTGGCTTGGTTCCATTATTATTTTGTCTTTGATAGGATCGTAGGTGATGATGATGGGGGGACGATGTTCACACCAGAGGAGTTTGAGGATTACAAAAAGAATGTACTCCCAAAGGTAACTGTTCAATACTACATTTTTGCCAGTGAAATATAGATATATCTCATTGATAAAAGTGTTAATGAAAAAGAAGATTTACTCCAATGAAAAAGGAGAACACAAATTATCTTATAAAATTGACAAACTAAAAATAATCACAAAACCAAAAATTTGAAAGCGCTGTTTACTAATAACACGACATTCAATTCCATGAAAGTCAACAAATAATGCATAACTGAATACCTTATCAGACACCAAACCCAATCCCAAACCAAACGTCTTAGATATGGAGCTAACGCGTTAGACATTTCAAGAGGATTCGTGTCATCAACAGCGACATATTTTCAGCCCCGTAGTAACTTGTCACAGGTTAAACTCTCTGACGTCTTACAGCAAATTTCATCTGATAGTGACATGAATAAGTAATATTTTCTATGTGAATATAAAAAATGAATTCACATTTATATTTATTCTAGTGTATTAGTGCATATTTTAAATGATTTTATTTTAAAAACGAACTATTATGTGTCGCGCACTGCAAAATTATAATGTAGTGTCCGCGAAAAAGCCTACTCAGTGTTCGCCTTTTGTTTATGTTCTAAATACGCCAGTAATTTGGCTACCTTGTTTGTTATAGAATATATAATAGTGTCTGCAGTAATAAATATATTTCACTCGTGTGTCCGATATTTTTTGTAAAATATTTTGATTGTTACTGAACACACTTTCTTATATCCTCTACTTTTTTGTTTAAGTGGTAAATCTGTATCCCATTGTATATGTATTGTTCTAACAAAACATCAAACAATGGTAGAACTGGGCATATAAGTTAAACTGATAATAAAAACAATAAAATGAAGGTAAATGACAATAATGATAACTATATCAATTGTAATGAATTAATTGTCAATCATCAATCAACCATGATATATCTGTCAATGTCTAAACTGTATTTTTTTTCTTTTTTATAAATCTATTTTCTATTTCCATTTTATTTATTGATTTATTTGCTGGTTCATTCATTTAGTTCTTCATTGTGTTTTTGTTAGGGTGTCCTTTCTAATTTTTTTTCAAAGTATCTGTATCTTCAAAAAAACTTGTTCCATTGGCATAACAGCGATAATTCGAATCTCTCAAAGATTTCCAGTATATGATGTAAGTTTGATTTTCCGTTTTAGATTCAAATTTCTTTGTATATGTGTTTATGTATATGTTTTAAATGTTCAAATAATAGCTAGATTTTCCATGTGTCAACAGCGGATGAAGAATCGACTTTACACCAGCTGGTCGTCACCCACTGGTATGGACTGTAAACTGATTGGTCCAGAAACGCCATGTTTTTGCAAACACAGGTATGTTTATTGTTTCGTCATTTGTTGTTTTAATTAATTTCTTAAACGTACACTAATTACGTCATCTGTCTTGTGAATCATGAAATAGATATAATGATTTCGAATAAAGTGTAGTGATTACACATGTAATGTATAAAGTTAATAGTAAAATTTTGTTAATTCCCCTTGATTTCTTCAAAAGTGAAAATGATGTAGACATATATTTATGGACAAATTTTAAAGATGTGGAATGATGATTATGTATACAATTACGATGTTTATATTTCCAAACGTACATAGTGATCATTCTTTTTTTTAATACAATGTAGAAGAAATATAAGATAAACAAAGCTCACCCCATACTTGAATGCCACGCCATGTGACATTGTTTTTGTTTTCGGTCTATGATTCATATGGTACAGTATCGATTCTATCAAGTGCATTACTATTCACAATCGACAACGCAGGATTAGCCCCTTTATTGCATTCCAGTCAACCAGCGAATCTCTTTGTGCATTCCATTATGAAGAAAAAGTGATTCCGGTATCAAAACTGAGAGTTAACCTGTTATTATTTTAACATGTCTAGTTAGACAAGATTCATTTTGAAAAGGAGATGGTAACAATACATGAAAATTATAGGATGTTGAGGGCCATGTGTGTACCAGGTATGGGGATTTAACCACTGCACATGTATCTGACATGACAATTAATAATCCGTCATGCAGATCGTATTAATTTCGAAACATTTTTGGAGTTGAATGAATGAGTCGCTGACACTAAACCTATAACGATTTAAATTAGTGCCATGCACCCTTTTTTGTTCGCGAACGTGTGAATAAGAATTTACATTAATACCACGTGAACAAAATTCATAAGAATAATTGATATAATGTTACTTTTCAGGTATAAGCAGCATAAGACGGATTTTGACGTAATTCCAACTGAGCGACCTATCATGATACCATGCCGACAGAAGGGATGCAAGTGTGTCACCTATCATTACATACCGATGAACGGAAGTCAACAAATAAGGTGCAGCACATGTAAGCACACAGCAGATGAACACTCGGAGGAACAGCCACGACTCGTATGCAAACGAAGTAAGACCATAGATTGTACAAAAGACACCAAATTATATAGCACGTTTTAATACAAATTTAGGGTTAGACGTAGAGCCAAACAATGAATAAAACTACACCATACAGCTGTCTCGTCCTTCTAGGACTCGTAAATTATGCTACACCATACAGCTGTCTCGTCCTTCTAGGACTCGTAAATTATGCTACACCATACAGCTGTCTCGTCCTTCTAGGACTCGTCACTGATGCTGTCGTCTGCATTGTGTATCCAATGAGGCGACTGAGGAAAACCTGAAGTGATCGAAAGAAAAGTAAAAATCTAGATGGGGAGATGCACTAGGCCCATATTTCGATAAATTTAGAATATCAATCATTCAGTTAATATTATTTGTTTTCTGTTTACTTCTTCGGAAAAAAAGCCCATATAAGATAGTGGTAATACATCTATGAGAAGCCCTTTTATTATTCACTAATTAAAAGTATCGATATCACTTATTCAATTATTGATATCATAATGTCGACATAATGATATCAATAACTCGAATTAGTGATATCAATAACTCGAATTAGTGATATCAATAACTCGAATTAGTGATATCAGTAACTCGAATTAGTGATATCAGTAACTCGAATTAGTGATATCAGTAACTCGAATTAGTGATATCAATAACTCGAATTAGTGATATCAGTAACTTGAATTAGTGATATCAGTAACTCGAATTTGTAATATCAATAATTATTTAATAATATCAATAATTCGACTTGGTAATATCAATGAATGTTAAATGATATCAATACAAAACTTTAATGTTAGCACTAGTTCGAATTATCAATATCACTAATTCCATTGTTGATATCACTAATTAATATTTAATGATATCAATGATTTCAGTTCTTAAAAATAAGTGTTTACTAAATACAAAGAAAAATCGTCTCCTGTTAAAGAATGTTTGTATTCATTATTAATTTAACTATATAGTTAAAATATAGTGATTAAAGGTCGTTGTATTATTTCGCATACCAATTCCATAAAGACTTATATTCTGAAAGTAATATCGTGAAACATCAATCATAAAGAAAATAAACTTCTTGAATGAAATTAATACTTTTGTTGTTTGATGTTATAGATAAACAATGTAGCAATATAGAAATGTATTACTGTTTTCGTCAATATAAAGGTCAAAGGTCTCGTTAATTTCATACTTTAGGAGGATGCAGCAAATGCACAGGATTCACCAGTTCCTTTTCCTGTGCCTGCGGAGTCGTATTAAAACAACACAAAATGATCGTGGAGACAGCGGAGGAGAGGGAGGCTAGAGGACACCCCCTTGGGGAAGCCACACCCTATGCAGCGATGGGTGGGATCACTGGCTTTTCTTCTTTAGCTGACGGATACATGCGTCTTGACCCAAGCGGCAGAGGTATGCATAAGATCAAGATAATTATTTTTTAAGTCAGTGTAACTTCTCCTTACTAAAAAAAGTAAAAAACGTACTTAAAAATATGTCACTAGTAGTGCAGTCAGTATTTCCTGAATTTCTTCCAGACTTACAGACTTACACACAGATATACACACAGACTTACACACAGACTTACACACATACTTACACACAGACATACACACAGACTTACACACAGACTTACACACAGACATACACACAGACTTACACAGATACTTACACAGACATTCACACAAATATACACAGAGACATACACACAGACATATACACAGAGACATACACACAGACATACACACAGAGACATACACACAGACATACACACAGACATACACACAAACTTACACACAGACATACACACAGACATACACACAGACTTACACACAGACATACACACAGACATACACACAGACATACACACAGACATACACACAGACTTACACAGAGACATACACACAGACTTACACACAGACATACACACAGACATACACACAGACATACACACAGACATACACACAGACTTACACACAGACTTACACACAGACTTACACAGACACATACATACATACACACAGACATACACACAGACATACACACAGACATACACAGACATACACACATACAAACATACATACATACATACATACATACATACACACAGACATACACACAGATATACACAGACATACACACACACATACATACAAACATACATACATACATACATACATACATACATACATACATACATACATACATACATACATACATACATACATACATACAACAGACATACATACATACACACAGGCATACACAGACATACACAGACTTACACAGACACATACATACATACACACAGACATACACACAGATATACACAGAGACATACACACACACATACATACATACAAACATACATGCATACATACATACATACATACATACATACATACATACATACATACAGACATACACAGACATACACAGACATACACAGACATACACAGACACACACAGACATACACAGACATACACAGACATACACAGACACACACAGACATACACAGACATACACTTACACACAGTACACACAGACATACACACAGACATACATACACAGAGACATACACAGACATACACATATACACACACAGACATACACACAGTACATACACACATACTTACACAGACATACACACACACATACATACATACATACATACATACATACATACATACAGACAGACAGACACACACACATACATACATACATACATACATACATACATACATACATACATACATACATACATACATACATACATACATACATACATACACACAGACATACACACAAACTTACACACAGACATACACACAGACATACACACAGATATACACACAGACATACACAGAGACATACACACAGACTTACACACAGACTTACACAGACACATACATACATACACACAGACATACACACAGATATACACAGAGACATACACACACACATACATACATACAAACATACATACATACATACATACATACACACATGTATATATACACACATACACACATACATACACACATACATACACACATACATACATACATACATACATACATACATACATACATACATACATACATACATACATACATACATACATACATACATACATAAAGACATACAGAGACATACACACAGACATACACATAGTCTTACACACAGACATACACATAGTCTTACACACAGACATACACAGAGACATGTATACAGACATATACACAGACATATACACAGGGACTTACACAGAGACATACACACAGACATATACACAGGGACTTACACAGAGACTTACACACAGACATACACACAGACTTACACACAGACATACACATAGTCTTACACAGAGACATACACAGAGACATGTATACAGACATATACACAGACTTACACACAGACATATACACAGGGACTTACACAGAGACTTACACACAGACATACACATAGTCTTACACACAGACATACACAGAGACATGTATACAGACATATACACAGACATATACACAGGGACTTACACAGAGACGTACACACAGACATACATACAGACATACACATAGTCTTACACAGAGACATACACAGAGACATGTATACAGACATATACACAGACTTACACACAGACATATACACAGGGACTTACACAGAGACTTACACAAAGACATTCACACAGACATACACAGAGACATACACACAGACATATACACAGGGACTTTCACAGAGACTTACACACAAACATACATACAGACATACACAGAGACATACACAGAAAATCACACACCTACACACATAATTGTACCTAAATCACCCTTTATTAACATATTAACACATTATTTGTGTGTTCGTCTCATGCCCAAGATTTCAAGATACATTTTACAACTTCATGCACGATATAATACAGATATTCCTTTTGCTTAACAAGCAAAGATATACATATATTAACATGAAAGCGCGAAAACGAGGTAAAAATTGTCATACATAAAATTATCATAGACAATATTTTGCAGGATTAAATTACAACACACCACTATATTGAAGGATTTTAGCAATAATGATAGTTGAGTTAATTCTAAATTCCCTCAGTTCAGATGGAGATAAATCATAGGTAAGTATACCGCCAATTAGAACATGAAGTATTGGTCAGGAGCTATCGTCAATTTCATAGCGTTGTCACAAAGTCTTACCAAACATTATGTATTTAAAACACATTAATTTGATTTTTGTTTTGTTTTTATTTTTGTTTGTTTGTTTTTTTTTTTTTTTTTTTCTAAATTCTAACTTTTCATTTGTCACCTATATAACATATTGTGTTTAAAGGTGCGCCGGCTAAAGGCTATTTGGAACAGTCTATCACATCAGCCGACAATCCGTACCTTCGTTCTAACGTACAGGCCATCAAGTCTCACCAAATGAGGAAGAAAGAATCAGGTACGACAGTCTTCATTTGTATAGACATAAATGTTCATGAAAACCCACGAAAATTACATACCATCAAATCAAGATTGCATACGTTTTATTGCTGTTACCTTCATAAGAGCGTAACGGAAGAAATTTAAGGCCGTATTTTCCATGTGTAGTACTCATGTAAGTTTATCCAAGAAGGTTCACTGACAGATCTGCAATAAACTTTCATCTTTATGTCATTATTTGAAAGCAAAGACATATATCTTAATGAATATGTAAGAGGATGCATGTGTTTATGTGTTATAGGTCTGACTGGTCCCGAAGATGAGATATTTGATGATATCACAGAGCGAGTGTCACAGATGAGGCGACCAGGAGAAGAAGATTTAGAATATTACGAGAGGCGACACCAAGAACGGGTAAATCCAAACTCGTGTAACTTGAATGAGTTTTCCTTTCAAATGAAACTTTATAAAACGAGTTCAATTTTGAGAGACTTGCAACAACTCATGACATAACGTCATCGTTTATATTATGAAATCGCTGTCGATTTCTGACTGGTGCAGCCAAGGGAGATAATCTATGGTATATTGCACTAGTAACATATTCAATGGATAACGAACCGATTACTTGATAAATACATTATTTACATAAACACGTTATATTGAGCTCTCACAACCTACAAATTAAGATGTTATTGGCATTTATCAGGCAGTAAATGTCATATCTCCTGAAGCCACTATAAATGTAATGTTATACTGTCATCATAACATAAACGATGTCAAGATGTCGGAGATGTTTGTGAAGTTCAAATGATAAAACTATTGAACATATTACGGTAATTTCTTAGCAATTTGTGATTGGTTGATACTTTTGTTTAGTCAAATATTCGTAATGAATGTTCAGATTTGTACTATTATTTACTATGTTTTAATTGAAAAACAAAACAAATCAAAATTGTAGTGATTCCTGCCACATGTATAAATTACCGTTGATAAACATTTGATTTAGTAATGCATCCTAATGATAACCTCGATATCGACCCTAGCTCATGATCTCAAAGTAATTAAAGGTTGTCTCGCCCTGCTCGATTTTCACGAACGTTAAAAAAAACCTGCGAAATAATTCAGCTCATTACGAACGTTTTTCCTAATAGACAAGGCTGATTATAAGTTTTATGTATATATATATATACGTTTACATTGCAGCAAAAGCACTTAGCAGCGGGTGGGGCAAAGACTTTAGATCCAAGCCAGCTCCACGCTGGGTCTCGAAAGGCGATAGAGGCCAAACCGTCATCCAGCCGTCCCAAGTCCAAGAAATAGACATCTGGGGAAGTAACCTTGGCAGGAAGGAACATGCTGTTGTGCTACAAACAAAGAAGGGAGATAATCCGTGCAGCTCTAGTTAAGTTGGCGGAAACCTAACACGTATAATCAAATGGTGCTTCGATTATATTGATTTATCCGTCCATCTTTTAAATATTTTATTACTAGTGTCACAATCACATTCGTCATGTTTTTATTTGTAATAGGATATAAAATAAACTCCTTGCTCATGTTTGTTTATTTTTATTTCGACGTATTTAGAATGAAACTATGTATATTACTATAATAGTGAAATATCATTTTCATTTAAAAATTATTTTTTGTCTCATTTTTTATACCTTTACTATTTCACTGTCAATAAAGAAGATTTGAAATTTTGCAAAATTGTATTTATTGGATACCGATGTCTTCGAATATCAGAGACGTGTATGTGTATGATGATATCGATTATTCTCAAAATTGTTTTATAAAAGCGTAGGTCTCGGGCGCTCGAGAGGATTTCCTCAAAGACTAGGGTTTGGGAATTAAAACAGTAAGTTGATTGTTCCGAAAGTCGGAAGCAAATCTACAGCGGATAAATGGTCTGATTCCAGAAATATGAAATAATCAATCATTGGGATAAGTAGTACTACCGTACAAGTGGACATGTGATATTGGGACAACGGCACTGGTGTCTGGATAAAGAAGTATCATTACCATATGTACGTGGTGACTGGAATTACGACACTCGGCTAATACAGTGTTATTTTCTTTATTTTTCAACTGTTTACATCTGGTGCTTTGTGATATATTCTTTATTGTGATACGTTTATATACACTGACCTTACTGTGTATATTTTGTAGAGATAAGTGTTAGTTGTATCAATTATTTTATCATGCAGTTATGCCTTCTAAACTTTCATTAAAGATTTAATCCTTTCAATTAATCGTTGTTTTATTTTAATAAACGTTTAAGTGTTATTTAAATGGTTGATGATTTTAGTTGGATTTTCTGTTAAAATGACTTAAAGAAATACAGAACCATTCTGTTGAAAAAGACTCTAGCAAACAACAAGTTAAACTTCTATTTTGAATGGTGATTTTACGATCGATCGTGTTGTATTGCATGTCGGTGAGTCCTTTGAAAAAAATCCCCAAACAAACAAACAAAATCAAAAACAAAACGACAATTAAAAAAAAAATCACAAAAACCAAACAAAACAGAGACAGAATAAGAGAAGCGTGTTTTGGGCGATCACAAAAGGGCGGTATATTTCAAGATGGCATCCCTGCATGGACATGAACACTGTGGGAAAAACAGAATATCGAATCAACTACGACATGGAATGTTACTACCTAGAACTGGAAATCACAATAGGGAAATAATCACGCTTATCATACAGCTTGGTTAAACACTAACCTTGCTGGTTGTGTTGTAAGAAAACATCGTGGTGAGAGGTTAATTTGGGAGAGTATGTCATGTATTTGTCTCAATTGTTTTTGTTTATTTTGTTGTGAACAGAGGTTTGTAATGAAAAGGAAATGTATCGAGTGCACGTGCTATTACCGAAGAGACGTTTTTCGAGAGCAGATTTTCTAGATTGATTAAAGTCCATTTTAACTGAAATAAGAAAGGCATTAGAAGCAAGACGAGTCTATAAAACGTCTTGGTCGTTTGTCGAATTTAAACATCCAGAAAATCAATATACTCAGCAACAAACTAAAGGTTAGCATGTTACTGTAATATTATCAAGTTTTGTGGGTGTTATATTTTTGTTGATTTCGTGGTTACTCTTAATTCACAAATTCATATATCTACAAGTGCAAGTGTTGGATTGATCGCCGAAGTCATAATTTGTCACCATTTGAGCATGTCTCGTTGTTCTTGGACAATGCGTGAGAGAACGTTAAAATCAGCCGTCAGACTTGAAGGTGATGACTCAAGCTTTGAACGACCAATGGAACAACGCCTATCCTTGACCTACAGGTCCTATGTGACGACCCTGCAATACTGCAAACGGTTGTCATATCCTTGGCTAATGGTGTTACATATGGAAATCTAACATCATATAAAGTAGAATAAAATTAACTAAACACAAAGTTTTACAATTAATTATTTCAGCAGTTTTATACAGAATTGATCAAATGCTTTATGTATCATGAATGATACGGTTTTCAAACGCAACATAAAGTAGTGTTACTTTTCTTTTTTTGTTTTTTGTTTAGCATACATGATAAACTAGAGTGAGGCGCGTACATAGTGATAAAATGCCCTTTGTCACTAAGCTGAAAAAAGACGCTACGCGGGATATCCAAGTTCGATTCCTATCTAGATTTTCGGCAGAAGTGTGTTTACCCTATTCTATTATATACCTATCTATCCAATATGCAGTATATAATTACACCGGTACTTCGAAAATTGTACAAAACACACACGTGTAACTAGCAACTTAAAATAGATTTAGATACAGTAGAGCCTATAATAGGGGGGGGGGGGGGGGGGGAGAGAGAGAAGCATGATTAGTTTTCATTACCTCCAAAATCAATGTATTTTCATCTTAGAAACAATATTTCATTTTTCTGTTATTTAATTCTTCGCAATGAAACAACGCTGACCTGGTTATATTTATCAAAAGTGAAATATTGCGGTTGATAGTTCGAATTTTATCATTAAGTCTTACTAACGACTGTAATCATTTACCTCGATTACAGTTTTGATTTTAAAAGCTTTATTCCCACCTCCCGAGTTCATTTTTTTTATCATCTATATCTTGACTTTGTCGTGATTCAAGAAAGAACAAATGAAATGATTGTGTTTGTACACATTATCTAGTGTATATATCATCTACGTTCTCCAGTCTACTTCAATATAGAACGGACTCCTCACGCCCCAGCTTGGCGGAGAGAGAGAGAGAAACCGAGAAATCCTTCAAACTATATTCCCACTGCAGTATTACTAGCTACCTATAAAAATCATCGCTAACTCACGAGAAATAGTAGGATTTTAATACACGCGATGTTCTACCATGGACTAAGAGACACAAGTCCTTGATTTTAAATGTCCACGGATTTTTTTATTTATTTATCTTTTTTTTTTTTTTATTTCACTTTTGCTGCTTTGGGTTTTTTCCAATATTATTAGCATAACAAACCATTTCAGATCTTTATATAAACAGTATTACCTTCTAAATCTAAAGTATTTAGATATTAGATGGCATAGCTAGATCGTGAAATAGATTATGGAATATATCCATACTTCTTTGTCAAGTCAATGTCTTAGTTACAACAGAATCCCTCACCTTTCCTGATCTTACCTGTAACATCGATTACTACTAAGGGCATTACACACACAGGTGAGAATTCTACCAGACTGAGTTACCTCCCCCGAGAGCCGTTTTACACACGTAGAGGCTCATTCTTACCTTACCTCCGTGTAAACAAAGCGATCGCCGGGCTTTCGGTCGTAGCTAGCTGTCAGTTACGAGTATGGAGGCTAGCACGTGCCTGCGTTGTCTAATTGTGCTTATGTGTCATCCTCTTTTACCTAAATAACGGAGAATCTATCCTAAAATTCCAACATTTTATCATAGAAAAGAAGCATGGATAGGAGGAAATCATGATAAAAGCGCCACACATGTGTGTAACAGGTCCACACTTGTGAATATGGAAGGATTATTTGAAACACAACCATGTGGCGCATTTGTGTTGTCGTAAAATATGTTCTTATTAGTATGTAGACCTTGATGTTGTTATTTGTGACAAATCTGACATATTTGAGAGGTAAAATGATATTTGGGCCGTTGCCGTTGCCTTATTGCAGCTGTTACCTGCAGGGATTAATGGGCAGTCGAGCGTGATCGGAATTTGGTGAGTATATATACATTCATCATACGTAAATATACTGTCTTTAAGTGTCCTTGTGTTTCTTTACTACTGTACTTATTTAGTCTTGTGACTTGATGATACATTAGAGTAAATATTCAAATATTTATATATAGGGAAATGGTGAAGCGGATTTTTTTAATTACGGGTCTATTTAAATATACACACAACACTGAGAGAAAATTTCTGATTGTATTGAAAGTCGCCGGTTGACACATCACACTTGACTATAATGCCGCTTCATTTATAGTGGTCGGTAAAATAGACACAGCTTTGGAATCTCTTCTTATTTTTGTCTTGATACGTGATAGTTGATAGTTGTTTCAAATGTAAACTTGTTTACCGCAGTTTTAAATACATAAAGAAAAACGAATTCACAATGTAATTGCCAGTCAAGACGTATTTAATGCAAGGACACAATTTACCAGACGCCTTTGCTAAATATAAATCACAAAAAATCGAAAACAATTAAATATTTTTCAGAGAATATTATTGATGAGCAATTAATGAGTTGATGGGTTGTAGAATGGTTGGGTATTGACATACAAACCTGATTTTTATAGATAAGATCATTTTGTACTAAATGATTGTATATGTGTTTATAAACAACACGCTAAATAGCTTACCCAAGCAACTTAACAATGAAATAGGCCTATAGTTTGAAACAATACACTAAAATCATAAAAAGCTTTAAATGAAAAGAGGCATATACATGGGCAATTTTCCAGCCATTTGGATATATACCAGATGATAAGGAATAATTGAAAATGATAGATAATGGTACAGAATATATATAGTATATATAGTAACTTTAGCATTTTGTGACTAATACCGTCGGGTCCTGATGCTTTGTTTGTATCAAGTATATTGACGATGTCTTCAATTTCTTTAGGTAGTAATATTATTTCATTTAAGACTGAATCAGTTCGCCTCTCAAAAAAGGGTAAAGCTTTATCAAGGTCAGTTTCTAATAATGTACAAACAGAACTGAAATAATTATTCAATAATTCACATTTACTGTTGTTATCATATATAATTTCATTAGTATTATTGTCTAAAAGTGGGGATATGTCAGTATGTTTACTAACTTTTAAAATATTGCGAAGAAGTTTCCAATATGCCTTAGGGTTGTTTTT